AAAGTTTGGGACAACTAATGCAGATAGTTTTACCCCCTCCAGTCTCTTAAAGTTTGGGACAACTAATGCAGATAGTTTTACCCCCCTCCAGTATATTAAAGTTTGGGACAACTAATGCAGATAGTTTTACCCCCTCCAGTCTCTTAAAGTTTGGGACAACTAATGCAGATAGTTTTACCCCCCTCCAGTATATTAAAGTTTGGGACAACTAATGCAGATAGTTTTACCCCCTCCAGTCTCTTAAAGTTTGGGACAACTAATGCAGATAGTTTTACCCCCTCCAGTCTCTTAAAGTTTGGGACAACTAATGCAGATAGTTTTACCCCTCCAGTATCTTAAAGTTTGGGACAACCAATGCAGATAGTTTTACCCCCCTCCAGTCTCTTAAAGTTTGGGGCAACTAATGCAGATAGTTTTACCCCTCCAGTATCTTAAAGTTTGGGACAACTAATGCAGATAGTTTTACCCAACCCTCCAGTATATTAAAGTTTAGGACAGCTAATGCAGATAGTTTTACCCAACTCTCCAGTATCTTAAAGTGTGGTTTTTATTTTAATATATATATAAATATATATTGCTTTTAAATGTTTCAAAGAATTAAATAGAACCTGATCTTCACCATTTTGTAAACTGTTAGTAAAAGATACAAGAACTGCGGAACACTCAAAGCAGCATATTTTAGGCTTAACATATAAATTACATAGAGAAATATAAATGGTAGAACATTATATTAGAAAACTAATAAATTCAGGTATTAGGATTTTCAGTCATAATATTTACAACTGTTTTCGTAGAATGAAAAACAGAGTATTGGAAGGAAAAAAAAACATTTTAATTTCAAAAAGTTAAGTATACAAAGGTATTAATATATCTGCTTACAAAAGCTCGCTAAATCACACAGGTTAACAACATTTTATCGTACTTGCTTTTAACATAGTGAAATTACAATTCGTAAAGTTGATTTATTATTGACTTTCAGCTTTTTTACATTAACTAAACAACAACCAGTTAAATTTTTAACACAACTGAAAATACCAAACCTTTACGTATTACACTGAGTACAATACAAATTCATTCTTGATTTAATTAAAGCCACAAGTGAAATATTTATTGTTATTTTATATGTCAAACGCGTCGTTCTAGTCCTTGAAAACTTTCGAATACATACTTAGGAGTTTACACATTCTGGTACCTTGCACAAGAACTTCCCAGCGCCATCTGCCTGCAATAAAAATAATATTTGTATTTACACAACTTATCTAAAAAAATATCCTTACTATTAATATCGTCGTTGTCTCATAAATCTTATTATAATTTTAGTCATAGTGTTAAAGCAAAGTAAATAAATAGTTTAAAGGGTTCTAGTAACCATGAAATATTTGTGTTTTTTTAATTTAGAGGTTACTAGTAAACGACTTGTCAGTCAAAAGAGATGCAGAATTTAAAATTATATATTTGTTTTGTTTATTATGAAGCTACTAAGTCTACAAAGAGGGAAACTGATCGATAGCACCCATCGCATCCCTTGGGCAGGCGCTCTAACCAATAGGCCTTGCTAAAAGTGAATAATGAAGTTTGGATGCTGACATTGTATTTTCCGTTGGAAACAATACTTCAGACGTACAGACTTGGCAATGTAAACATCGGTTCTAACACTTAATAATGTGTGCTGTTGTAATTACATCTCTTACCACCGGTAGAATGATTTAATTTAATAAATTTAAATAATGTTAAACATGTTTCAGGAATATCACCTGCTCATTATAATAGATTGTTAGAGATGAACAACTATTAATTATACTATTCGTAATTTTAGGTACTCAGAAAAAGCGACGATGTAATTAAGAGAAACGGTAACAAAGTTTTGAAATTTTCAGGATTTACTTCCATTGAATGAATTATACCAATCATGTCTGTTGAATTATTCTTATATTTGGAAATCTAAAACATACAGATTCATTAATTACGTTTCAAATTTTCTAAGAATTAGGGCGGCGAAGATTTTGACATTTTGAATACGATTGATCGTTTTCATAAAATCGAATCGGATAATTGTCTACCATTTTAAATCCAACATTAGAAAACATGGCGAAGTTGTAGAGATTCTCAAAACAAAGAAGTAGAGATGATATAGTGAATATATGAATATACGTTCTACGGGAAGCAGTGTAGATCAGTGGTTCTCAACCATATGGCCCCCCAGGAGGCCACGCCATGTTTCTATACGTTCTACAGTTAGCAGTGTAGATCAGTGGTTCTCAACGTGGATCATATGGCCCCCCAGAAGGCCACGCCATGTTTCTAAGGGGCCACGGGAATGACGGAAAATTAGGGGCCACAGTATATTCTGAGTAGGCCACCGAAACTTCACTGCCGAAATAAAATATTTAAAATTGAATCAAATGTTCCCTTCTCCCAGTATCCCCCCACAGCTCAGAAGTCAAGTTATCAGACGCGACTAGTATTCGAGTAACAATCAAAATGTTTGTCTGGTATCTGTGAATGTTTTCGATTGATTCTCAAGAGCAGCAGAGTGATATAACAGCCCAAGCTAGTTTTAAACGTGACAAACATTATTTCTGGATAAGTAGTGAAATAGCTAATATGTTTCCACAGCTCTGGGAAAAGGCAAAGTTGTATTTTATCGCTTTTCCCACATCTTATCTGGTTGAATCTGGTTTTAGTCGGGTGACTTATTTGCTATCAAAAATATGTAACCGCCTTGATGTTGTGAAGAGAGGTGATCTTCGTTTATCACTGACCACACTGCAACCGGACATTCAAAACTTTCATCAGGCCCAAGGAGATCACACTGAATAAAATGTCAATAATCAGCAGAATATTTTTACTTGTATAAGTAAACAGTATGTTAGAAACAAAATATTTAAAAACAATACAATATTGTAAAAATAATATTATAATATTACAAATATATTATAAATCAACACTGTGGAAATAAAGTAACTTATTTCCTAAGTGACAGAGATAAATCAAACTCAAAAGGGGGCCACGAGGAATAAAAGGTTGAGAAACACTGGTGTAGATAACCTATACTGATTTCAATGTGGTCAATCGGAAGATATGCTTCAAGTAAAACAACAAATATATATTTTCTAGCCTGAAGGAAAACAGAAAATAGTAGATTTAGCAAAATGTTGTCCATACATTACAACTGTTTTTTGTATCAACAAATCTGATTGTTAGAGCGTTCGACTCCCCAATCTGCAGTTCGTGGGTTCAGATCCCCGTCATCGAACATGCTCTCCCTTTAGAGCTGTTGTCAGACCAGCCACCCGAGTATAAATATTCTTCTTTAATACAAATACCCGAGAAGCCGACCCCATATCTAGATTAGATGGGATTGTTTGTTTGTTTGTAATTAAGCACAAAGCTACACAATGGGCTATTTGTGCTCTGCCCACCATGGGTATCGAAACCCGGATTCTAGCGTTGTAAGTCCGCAGACATACCGCTGAGCCACTGGGGGGCTAGATGGGATTAATGTCGAATAAAGAAGAAGATCTGTGTCAACAAGTATTTTTTAGAAAAATGTTTACAGAAACTGAAAAAAAAGGTTTAGATGTCATTAATACAGACAATCAATAAACAAAGCAACATGATCTCATCACACACCGAAAAATGTCATAAAATTGTTTGTTATGGATTTCGCGCAAAGCTAAACGAGGGCTTTCTGCGCTAGCTGTCCCTAATTTAGCAGTGTAAGACTAGAGAGAAGGCGACTAATCATCACCACCCACCGCCAACTCTTGGGCTACTCTTTTACCAACGAATAGTGGGATTGACCGTCACATTATAACGCCCCCACGGTTGAAAGGGCAAGCATGTTTGGTGTGACGGGGATTCGGACCCGCGACCCACAGATTGCGAGTCGAGCGCCCTAACCACCTGGCCATGCAAGACCGATAAACATTCAAAACAGCTTACATGAGAATTTTGATGTCATAAAATAAAGATACATCTATCATATTTTTATAATTTAGAAAATGTTAGCTTGAAACACCTTCCAGAAGTAGAAATTATGAAGAATCTTACAAGCCTTAAATCGATCAAGAAAAAGAATGAAACGTGTTTTACATCGTTTGTCATGCTGACTAACACAAAATAGTAAGTGGTATTGACTGATAAAAATACTCTCCAGGAATTGTTTTAGTTTATAATTTGACAACTTCATATCACTAACAAAAAAACACGTGAATGTTGTTTTCATTATCTGATTGAAATTGTACACAATTACGTTGAAAACTGTTAATTTGTAACTACGAAATAGCAATATTCTAATTACTGTTATTTCTCTGTTACAACCGCTTTGATGCCTTGCAGTAGGAAACACGTGTCTTCAATAAATACCTTTATCTGAAGTGTATGTTACAAGCAAAAGATTTTAAACATAATTCTGTATTGACAAACATTCTACATTTATGAACATTAAACTCCATCATGTATTTATTGTTACAGTCGTGGGGATAAGTCCTGGAAAAGGAATCAAACATGCACAGAAAATAAACTCAGTATACAAAACATAAAACAATTTGTGACCTTATGATTTAAGTTAAAGGATACGGTAGAAGGAAATACAACAGCATTAACATGTACGTCGTTTAGCAGTATAAAACATTTTAACCTTATGGTATAAGTTAAGGGATATCGCAAGCCTAAATGACAGTAAGTGTAATATTATTAATATTGTCATCGGTAAGCTCAAGCACTGGACAGATCATTATGTAGTTTTGCACTAAAACAAACAAGTCAAAGCAGCGTTAATATGCACTTGATTTATTGGAAACAATTGTTAATAGAATGCTTCGGTATGTATGTTACTTGTTTTTATGAGGTCAGAAAGAGGCGCAAATGACGTTAGCAATTCCAAAGACTGATCCTAATTACTATTTCTGTTACTTGATCATTCAATACCGCTGATGTTTTTAACACGTTTTAGTAGCAACCGATGTAAAAGTTCATTAAAGTCACTTTTTGATTGATTTTTAAAGTCAAGGGGAAATATCATATTTACAGCTGGGTGAATCTTTATGGTTCAGAAATATAAAATGAAGGAATGTGTCATGATTATAGCAATAAAGTATATCAAGAATAGCAACGGGATATACGGAGGAAGTGAATGGTCATAAAATTCCCAATACCCTCCCGTATTTATTAAAACCTGCCTAAATAATTATAAGTTCCAATAACGCATAATCCCCTATCGATTTGAAAAATATACCTAATATGGATTTGAAACATACACTTCAATAGAGATTACTCTAGTCGTCCCTATTTTTGAAGTGACAGACTAAAGGGATTGTCCCTCAGTGGCACAGCGGAAAGACTCAAGACTTACAACGCTAAAACTGGGTTTCGATACTCGTGGTGGGTACAGCACGGGTAAACCATTGTGTAGCTTTGCGCTTAAAACAAGTAAATTAGCAGGAAAGCAGCTAGTCAACACCATCCACGGCCAACCCTTTGGCTGCTCTTTACTAACAAATAGTGGGATTAACCGTCACATTAAAAAACCCCACGACGGAAATGGCGAGAATGTTATGCAACAGGTTTCAGTCCGCGATACCCAGATTGCGAGTCGAGTGACCTTACCGCCAGGCCATGCCAGGCCACTATCAAAGTAACAATGTCATTTTGTTATTCCTTTCTCTCATTGGGTCAGTGGTAAATTTACGGATTTACAACGCTCAAATCTGCTGAACATCCTATTGCTATTTTACATCCTGGTACTTATTTAGTTGTCAAACGTTATTGCATTTTTTCTGCTGTTTTTTATTGTATTATTATCTTATTATTTCCAGTGGAAAGTTTGTACTGTTTATTATGACTGAAAAAGTTTTCAAAACATTGTGACAACTCGCATAGTAACTTGTTTTCTTTGCATCGTATTCTTATTTTCAAACATTTTTGAAAAATCTCAGCCAAAAACATTAAAACAAATAATGTTACAGTATAAGCATATGTGATTATCACTTCTAATGTTTAGGCTCTCAAATTCTCCATTGAAATTTAGTGAGTTATCTCTACACATGTCCTATAGCTAGTTCTGAGTCTATCGAAACTGAGATAGCATTAATAGATAAAGCAGAGGTTCTCATGTTCAATTGAACATTATGAAAATAATAATTCCTTCTGTATCATTTCTAACGGACCAAACATAATTTATTATATCTCCATAACCGTTAATACTCATTACATTAAAGTGTTCGTACAAACTAGATATCCATTTAGAATGAAACAGAAATATTACCTGACTTTCAGGGTTAATTTATAAGGTTTTTAGCTCAGCCTAAAAGAAACAAACTGAAATATTTCTTAGTTTCATATTTTAATTAGCCACAGAGTAGAATTTTTTTGTGATTGTGGGCAACAATTCTAAGAAATATTACCTGACTTTCAGGGTGAATTTATAAGGTTTTTAGCTCAGCCTAAAAGAGACAAACTGAAATATTTCTTAGATTCATATTTTAATTAGCCACAGAGTAGAATCTTTTGGTGGTTGTGGGCAACAATTCTAAGAAATATTACCTGACTTTCAGGGTGAATTTATAAGGTTTTTAGCTCAACCTAAAAGAAACAAACTGAATTATTTCTTAGTTTCATATTTTAATTAGCCACAGAGTAGAATCTTTTTGTGGTTGTGGGCAACAATTCTAAGAAATCATCCTGAAAATGATTGGCTGGAAATTACATGATGGAGGATCAAAAACAAATGTATATTGTGTTGTTGAATTCTGTCTGTCACCTACCATGAACATGGTCATTTTTGTTTGTTGTTAAAGGCAGAGCTACACAATGGTCTATATGTGTAATGTACGCCACAGGTATCGAAACCCGGTTTTAGCGTTATAATCTTTCAAACTTACCGCTTAGTCATTGGTGGAGGGGGAAGACATGGCACACACGCTGTAACAGTCACTAAAACATGTGTAAAAAGAGTTTTCTAAAGTAACATAACTGATTTACTTGAAAGTACTTGGCTCTGCAGGGGAATTTCTTTTTGGAACACGAGTCACGGCGGATGCACTTTCCGAATCTTCGCAAACAGCGGAAATCGTCCGGAGAGCATTTGGTGCAAGTAGAACCTTCCACAAATTCACATGCTCGACAAGAAGTATGCTGGCACGCTCCTTGACATTCTTGTTTCTTCTCAGCGTTATATCTGAGAAGAAGAAAAAACATTAAAAAGAAAGCCTAGAATCCTACTTCGTTATGTAAAGTCATGCATATTGATGTGTTTCCTAGAATAGTAGTTACACCGAGTTAATTTTCACTTAACGGGCTTGTCGTTGTAAAAATTAAATTCATTTCTGTTTGTGTGTTCCTTTTCACTACCACCTTTATACTTGATTTGTCTTTTCTATTAATATCCATCATGCAGTTTCATACACTCTGTTTTCTTAATCTAAAATATTTGTTGCAGTTCATATCGAAAATATGGTAGATATAATGGTTTATGCATTCGTTTTGATAATTAAAGTTACAAACATGATGGTTATTAACTGAGACTTCAAAGCCAGTAGTTATACAACAGTTTTATAAATATTCCAGAAATATCAAATATAATGTTCTCCAAGGACTTGTTTTTGTAAAAGAAATCTTGTGTAATTTAATATCCACATAATAATAGGTATTGGGAGTTTAAAGAATATAGTACAGTCTAGTGTTTGATCATTTAGGATAAATATTACATATTACTCGAAATAGTACTTCATTCCTCCTGTTATATCCATGGGTTGAAATAGAACACAACCAATGATAGTTATAGACAATAAATACATTGTTAGCTAGAATATTGCTGAAACTTTAAACGAGTAAAGACAAGTGAAATTAGTCTTAATAATATGTAAAACATTAATAGGGTTAATAACCTATCCTGTCTATGCAAGACGGTACTAATATATTCTATTCGTTCTCTTACGATTCTTCGGTTTGATAATACGTGATCTCTACAATAAATACGGCTTATTTATCACTAAAAATAAAATAGATATAAGTTACCATACAGTTCTGATGTAAAGGAACGATTCTTAGTAATACGAAGGCTATGAATCAAACATATGCTATCCTGTCTCTTATGAAACTTTACTAATTATCAATTATTACCGGGCCCTAGAAACCCTGTTGAACTGAATAAGACGTAGGTTAGGTTTATGTTTTAATCTTACCAAGGTTTGTTTGTCTGTAAACATTCCACAAAAACAAAAAAGAAAGAGAGATTTTTGTTTGAAGTGGATTTGAAGACTTTTCGGAAATGAAGTTTAAATGATATTAAATAGTGTAAGCTTAGAATCAGTTTTAAACAAAATCAAGAATAACATAATTTGAAAACTCAAGTTTAAAAAGCGCCACGTTACGTAACTGCAAGATTACATTTTTGTTTATTTGTTTTTGAATTTCGCGCAAAGCTACATGAGAGCTATCTGTACAAGCCTAAAATATCATTGAAACAAAGTAATTTTGTACAATAAATCTTTTAGAACTTATATCTATAATAGGTCAAGCGTGACCCAGTGGTTAGCGTGCCAGACTGTGGCTCCGAGGTTCCGCTTTCCGCTCTTTGTGACAATGTGTGCCTTACAATTAACGGTTAAATCTCGCTATTTGAATAGAGTTGGCAGTAGATGGTTTCGAAGAACTGGTTTTCATTTCAAATTGGGAACGGCTAGCGCAGACAGTCCTCGAGCAACTTTACGCTAAATTCAACAAACGCTCGCCATACGAATAATATTTTCGTTCAACTGATGTGGTTAATAATCCCAGTATTCAAAGTTAACCAAAGTAAATACTTATGTATGGAAGGAATTATTCTAATATATATAATAATAAGTTGACAAGTAACGATTTATAAGCATGACTACAGGCACTTTATACGATTGAATCGAGAGAGAACATCGACATATTCTGACTCTTTATGAGAGAGAAACTCTGTTTATATTTAAAGTCGTTATTGTTCTAACTAATTTGAATTATCACTGATACTTTGTTTATTAAAGCCCCACAGTAGCATAGCTATATGTCTGCAGAATTACAACGCTAGAAACCGGGTTTCGATACCTGTGGTGGGCCAAGCACCGATAGGCCATTATGTAGCTTTGTGCTTAAACTACAAACAGACAACTGTTCGTTCATTAAAAATTTGACATTATAAAATTGAAAGAAGACTTCTGGTTAAATTATGAATTAAATGTATTATCTCACGTGGCAATAGATCGATGTTAGAAATAACATTGTTACGGAACCATAGTTAAAGGGTATTATTACTAGAGTCGAGGAAAGCGAAAATGCAACTTTCCACAGTTGTTTGTCTTACATTCCCTTCTAAATTATATAATACCTCAAGTTAACAATTCTTTTGCTGCATTTTAGTATTTAAACAAGAACGATAGGCGTCTCTTTGTTCTTACCTTCGTGGTCTGTATAATGGAGAACAGAAGATTACTGATAAAATGATTGGCTAACTCATGATCTTCAACATCTATTTGGTAAGATCATTGATAAAATGATTGGCTAACTCATGGTCTACAATATATATATGGTAAGATCGCTGATAAAATGATTGACTAACTCACGATCTACAACATCTATTTGGTAAGATCACTGATAAAATGATTGGCTAACTCATGGTCTACAACATCTATTTGTAAGATCACTGATAAAATGATTGGCTAACTCATGATCTACAACACCTATTTGGTAAGATCACTGATAAAATGATTGGCTAACTCATGATCTACAACATCTATTTGTAAGATCACTGATAAAATGATTGGCTAACTCATGATCTATTTGGTAAGATCACTGATAAAATGATTGGCTAACTCATGATCTATTTGGTAAGATCACTGATAAAATGATTGGCTAACTCATGATCTATTTGGTAATACTGAAACACCGACAATCTGTGGATTGTAGCAAAATACCTTTATATTTTTCTATCCAACACTAGTGTCAAAAACCAATATACTGGGATTTTGTTCGTTTATTTTTGTCAAACGCAAAGCTACACAAAAGGTTATCTGTGCTGTGACCTTCACAGGTATAGAAACCCACCTTTTAGCCGAGCCACTGGGAGGAGACATTCTAGGTACTATATTGAGTACTCAGTATACCGACATACCTAAAATCATTAGAAGTGTACGTAGCAGTAAATTTCATTTAAACAGTAAACATCATGCTGATATTGTTTACATTGGTAAACACTACTGGCGAATTAGTAGACACTTTCTTATTACTGGATGTGCAGAGTGGTGTGAATTAATATAATTTTCACCATTAATTAAACACTACTGGCGAATTAGTAGACACTTTTTTATTACTGGATGTGCAGAGTGGTGTGAATTAATATAATTTTCACCATTAATTATTCTAAAAGTTAATATTGAAATAAATAACTAGTTAAATAACTGAGCTTTTGACAAAACAACGCGTAAGCAAATAATAAAGTACTATTGAAGCTGCTAATAGATAACAACGTTAAACAACATTTTATGCTGTTTGAAACGTTACATAAAACAACGAGTGGGTAAATAATAAAGTACTATTGAAGCTGCTAATATATAACAAAGTTAAACAACATTTTATGCTGTATTAAACGTTACAATAAACAACGAGTAAGTAAATAATAAGATACTATTGAAGCTGCTAACAAATAACATAGTTAAGCTCTATAGCATGCTGTTTCAAGCGTTAGGCAAGAGAACGAGTAAGTAACTACCATAATGTTATTGAAGTTATCTTTTCTATCATGAATAATATTAATCAACAATCAGAAATACCTTGCGTGTGAAGATTATTAAATTTGATTGTATCGCTGGTTACAAAGGCTAGTTTTACTTGGCGCCTCATGTTTTTTATATTAAAAAACCTTAGTTTATAGTGTACATATACTATGATTTGTTTTATTATAGCTTCAAACACACACTACAAGTTATGGTGGAATTGAATACTCGATATTAAATAGTTAATAATATTAGTAAGTCGTGCCTGGCTACGTACTGAAATGTCCAAAGTACAAGCCGCGATATGCCGATGAACCTACCCTGCAATCTCAGCTGTGGTAGTATTATAACCATAACAGTTAATTTCAAGATTTGGTTAGAAGAGTAGCCGTGTTAGGAAGTGGCTGATTTTTCTCCACCTGGTTATTATTTCTAAGTTAAAGTAGGTTATGCTGATTGACACAACGTATATCAACCCTAACAAAAAATATTTAAATTTAACTAAGAACCACTTAGTAAATTCAAAAAAGGCGCAGGCTTAATGTTCATAATTAATACTTGAACTGTGTCAATCCACCTGCTATAAGATTTGATGTTTCGTTTATCTGATAAAAATTAAATTAGATTGATAGTAAAGAGAAATATTAATGAACTACAATACCCCAAAAAATATTAATGAACTACAATACCAAAACAAATATTAATGAACTACAATACCCACAAAAAATATTAATGAACTACAACACCCAAACAAATATTAATGAGCTACAATACCCCAAAAAATATTAATGAACTACAATACCCAAAAAAATATTAATGAACTACAATACCCACAAAAAATATTAATGAACTACAACACCCAAACAAATATTAATGAGCTACAATACCCCAAAAAATATTAATGAACTACAATACCCAACCAAATATTAATGAACTACAATACCCCCAAAAAAATGTTAATGAACTACAATACCCACATAGCTGACAAAAAGAAAATCAGTTACAAGGCAATCAAGCGATATTTACACAGTACAGGAGATGCAAGTTGGTGATCACCCAAGTCACGTGCGAGTTCAAGAAAAATGCATGCTTGTGTTGATAAATGAAGTCTCCACCATTACATTTTATTTGAACAGAGAAAAATAAAAGAAATATGCCAGAAACTGAAAGATTTTCTCCGGGAAGTACTGAATGAAACTTTTGTTACAAAGCAGGATTTGAGTGTGTAATCCAACTATTAAGAGAGATACCTACACTGTAGGATATATGCTGAAATAAAAATTATCTCAAATAAAACGAAAGTCTGTGAAAGAGAAAATCTGTTCCGAAATACGAAACATCTGAATTTGCTACAAGAATGTACCACTCGTCTTTCAATACGAACGGAGTTACATGTTTGTTACAAGAATGTACCACTCGTCTTTCAATACGAACGGAGTTA